AAAAATAAGACTTCAGACTTCCAAGTTTATTATCTATTATTTACCAGATTTAGACTATATTATTAGCATCAAATTTTTATAGACTGAATTTGGTAAATAATAGATTATAAATTTAGAAGCTCAAAGCTTTATTTTTTTAGAATCTTTATATTAGTATCATTATAATAACATACAAATTTAAGACTGCTATAATGCAAAGCTTTAGTATAACTCATTAAGTATTATTATAATTAAATTGCATACATAGATAAAACACTACAATTAATTTTTACATGTTGCTCTGTTATGTTCCTTTTGCTTACAATTTTGACATGTTTTGCATATATTCTTTTCTTTTAATCTATTGTGCACATTTTCAGATTCATTAACTACCTGATTAACATTTATCAGTTGAAGATAATGATGTTTTTTTGTCTGATTTTCCTGAATTTCAATAGCACTTTTTGCTCTTCCCAGAGGCCTTCCTCTTCGAGCTGTAATTATTGGATTTCCAATATTAAATTCATTATTTTGCTGTGATTCATCTTGTGGTGATTCATCTTGCAGTGATTTATCTCATGATGATTTATCTCGTGATGATTCATCTTGTAATGATTTTTCTTGCTGTGATTCTTGAATGTGCTGCTTATTTAATATAAAAGTTTAACAAATGCCTATTAATTCATCATACGAATTAGTAGAAATTGCTAAATCAAGAATTTTTCGTATTATGCCTTGTGCATGGCCATATTTTTGGTGTGTACTATTAATTTTTTGCAATACTGGTGTATAAACATCTGAATTGCGAATCTCTTTCAAATATCCAAAATCGCTTGTAATTTCTTGATTTTGAATGTTATTAATGCATAATGAAATAGAAGATTTTTCCCAAATTTTATTCAGATTTTCTTTGATAATATCATCCTTATACCATTGTCTTGCAATAAGTCTGATGTGCCATTTAGCTTGAGATGAACAACGTAAAATTTTATAAAAATGTCGACATGGATAACCATGTGTTATAAGAAGATTACATATACATATATGTGAACCATCTACTGTAAGTATAATATATTGTCTTTTAGTTCCACAAGACAATACTAATTTCCAAATTTCAACGATTTGTTCATATCCAACTTTTCAACTATATTGACCAAATGAACTTTCATAAGCTTGTAGTTGTCTTCATGCATTCCTTCATCATAATCTATATTTACTTGTTCCTTACAATATAAATCGGTTAGTATGATAAATATTTTTGGTTTAATAATGCATAATTTAAATAGTTATCTGTAATATAGACTCAAGATCCGTATGGTTGATTTTAATATAATTATAAAAGAAACATTCTTGCATTTGCCCACAAACCTTAAAAACTATTGTTGGCATAAGGTATTGTAAAATAACTGTTTCAATTGAATTAAAATATGTTTTAGGCACTGTTGCAAGTCTGACTTTAGGAATTTCACCTTCATATTCTTCTATCCTCATATAATTTGATTCTTTGTCAAGTATATTTTGAATTTCTTTAACTAATTCTAAAAGCGACGAATTAGATTCTACACAGGTATGAATTTTATAATTTAGATTTTCTACACGCTGTGTACTATTTGCGCCTGCAGTAAATTGGTTATTGATATAGCATACAGCCCACTTTGTCTTTGTTGGATCTAATTGACATTTTATATAACTACTTGCTGAAGTATATTTTAACTTTAAAGCTTCCCAATGCCTTTCAAATAAATCTTCAACCATAGTATTTCTACATTTAAAAAAGTTCGTATGGAACTCCCAAAATTCATCTGAATTAAGCTTATTTCGAAGATTTCTTTTTAAATTGAGATCGATATAAAATAAACATAAACAATGAACAGAACTTAAAAATTCTAAATGTATTGCACTAGTCATTCCAGAATCAGAATCTGTAAATATTACTTGTGATATTAAATTATTCATATACTTATTAATTATTTGAAATGTCCAAATAAAACTATCTTCAGTTTCATCTTCAAGTAAAGCAGATGCAACAAGTCGTGATTTATTACAGTTGTCAATGATAACAAAAAAGCATGTGACTATATTATATTTATTTGTGTGAGAAGTTGTATCAAGAAAAATAACATCATAATATCTAGTTCATAAATATTGTTGATCGGGTGATATCCAAATTAGTCCACTCAATCTTCGCTCAAGTCCATCAAATCTACTTTCAACAAACTATCTTGAATCTTCAGTATGTTTTGAATATAAATAGTGCATAAGATCAGATGCATCAAATTTAGCTCTTTTAGTCAAATGTTTCTTTGCAGCTTGGATAGTGTTATAAAGATTTTTTTGATGAATTCTTATTTCTGGAAATTTGCTTTTTAGTAATCGACCAATAAGTTGTGCACCCGATATTCCACTTTTTACACAAAATTCAATAAATTGAATTGTATCACTATTAAATTTATGATATTTTGCAATTGTAATGATAGGTGAAGGCATCATTGGATGATTATGTTGATCCACAACAGTAGTAAAAATAATTGATGATGATAATTTCTTAGACATATTTCTATTAATTTTCTACTTACAATCAGTAGCTTTAGATTGTCTGTTTCAATGATTAGCAGGGTTTGACATTTTTTTTGATTGATATTTATCCGCACAACTATATTCCTAATTAATTCTTGTTATGACTTTGTTCTCATTTTCAGTAAAACCTTCACTTCATTTTCTACGAATACTAAACCCTTTTTTTTTTCTATAATTATTAAGAAACTCTTCAGCTTTATCCCATGTATGAAAACTTTGTTCTACATATAATCCAGATGGTATTACATTATTTTCATCATCTGAAGAATCAGTATCAAAAATTTCATTGCAGTCATTAATTTCATGATATGCATTAATCTCATTATAGCCATTAATCTTATCATAGTCATTAATTTCATCGTAGTTATTAATCTCATCATAGTTATTAATCTCACTTTGACTTTCATTTAATTGTAATTCTTCATTATCGAGACCAAGCTTACATATAGATAGATTATAAATGAATAAGTAAATAATATAGCTTTATTGACTAAAAAGCTTAATAATACCTATATAGATCGAGGGTGTAATTGATTTTGGTTTACTTGATAATCATATGAAGGTTTAATAAAACCATTTATTGGTGTATCGCTTGACAATAAAGTTATATTTTGATCATAAAATGAATATGGATCCTAAATGAATTAAGCCTTTTTTAGTTAAGAATTATAAAGCAAA